GTGCTGCTCTTCGCCGTCGACCCCCGCCGCCCGCCGCCCGGCCACCCAGCCTATGCGGCCCTCCCCGCGACAGACCCCGCGCTGTCGCCGCTGCCGCAGCCGGCGCCGCCCCTGCCCTCCCCGCCGCCGCACCTGGAGCCGTCGGGCATCCTTCCCAAAGTCGAGGCGGAGGCGCTCCTCGCGGCGCAGCACGCGCAGCCGCAGCAGCAGCACACGGCGCTCGCCGTGCCGTCGCTGCTGGGGCACCCCCACGCCTGGGAAGGCGAGGAGGCGCTCTCGACGGGGGCCGCCGGCCCGCACCACCTCGCGCACCTCCACCAGCAACAGCGGCGCGACGCGGCGGCGGCCGCCGGCGCGGCGCGCGGCGATGGCAACGCCCCCACGTGGGACGGCGACGGCGGTGCTGGAGGCGGGAGCGGGTGGGAGGACGCAGAGGGTTCGGAGGATGGCGCCTCGAAGAAGCGGCGGCGGTTCCGGCGCAAGGGCCTTGTCGCTGACATCACCTGGGTCCTGAGGATCCCCACCTTCCAGGCCATCGTGCTGCAGGTGATGATCTGGGAGCGCAATCCGGTGGTCTGATCTGGTCCGATCTGATTTCAGTAACCTGGCCGGAAACAGCGACTGCGCGCCGTTTCTGGAGAAAGGCTTTCCACGGACAGCCAATCATTTGTTGCCTCCTCGGTCCTCCAATGTGCTATATGGTGCAGGACCAACACAACACATCAACCCAGTGCCCCCGCCCCTCCACCCCCCATTCCAGGGGATCGTGGGCTGCTTCCCCTGGCAGGCGGCCGTGTTCTTCACCCTCTGGCTGCAGCTGCAGGGCTTCAAGAGCTCAACAGCCAGCATGATCACCGCCACCTTTGGCGCGGGCGTCGCCATGGTGCATGGGCCCCGCCGCTCCTTGATGCCGACCCCAGGGTGTTTTTTTTGCTGCCCCGTTCTTGGGATGCATCTGAGGCGCGCGCCGGCGCCCTCGCGCGTGCCGGCCTGCAGGGTTGCGCACCAATGGGCACGCTCAACCCACTGATGCAGCGTGCAGTGCAACTGGTCCACCCGCAGTGCTTCTCAGTGACCCGGTTATCCAGCGGCTTGCCGAGCATTCAAACACGAAAATGAGCGACGTGCAGCTCGCAGCTACCGCTGACTGTGACTCCCCGCGCCCCCCTTGCCCCCAGGGCGCCCTCCTGGGCGGCTTCATCGGCGACCGCATGGCACGGCGCCTTCCGGACTCTGGCCGCATCTTCACGGCGCAATTCAGCGTGGCCAGCGGCATCCCCCTCACGTGGCTGCTGCTGAAGGGTGGGCACGCCGCGCTTGCAGCCGCTTTGCGGGCGCCAACTAACCCCTCGTCTACTACAGGCACACGATTGTGCCGCATGCTCGACGACACGGCTGCTTTGGCTTGTTCACGGGGCTAGCTTGCCTGGATTGGCAGCTGCTGAGAAGCCGTTGACCTCGCACCACACGGGGGTTGCCACACCCTCGTCCAGCTGTGCCACGCGCCAGTGCCAGGCGGCTCTCTCTCGCTGGCGCCCCACTCCTCTCCTGGCACGTCCCCTTTCTTAACACGCTAACCCCTGAACCCTAAACCCAAGTTTCCAACCTCATGTGGCCCCAGGCATCCCTTCCCAGGCGGCGCTGGCCACCGACCCGCGCGCCTACTCGGCGGTTCTCTTTGTACTGGGCCTCACCTGCACCTGGGCAGGGGCCGGCTGCAACTCCCCCATTTTTGCAGAGGTGCGGCGCCTGGGCTCAACCCCCAACCCGCCCTGCCCACACCCACGCGCGCGAGGCGGGACGCCGCTGCTTTTTGGGATCTAGTCGGCGCTGCGCTCCCTCCCTTCCACGCCGACGCTTGCAGATCCTCCCAGCTTTGTCTTGAAACAGGTAAATCAACCCCATGCCTACGGCCCCTGGCGGGCCGCCGGCGTCCACACTCACCTCACGTGTCAACCCCATCATTATTGACCCCGTTGCCCCCAGATCGTCCCCGAGGACATGCGGTCGCTGGTGTACGCCTTTGACCGCTCCCTGGAGTCCTCCCTCGCAGCCTGCGCGGCGCCGGCAGTCGGCCTGCTGGCAGAGCGCGTGTGGGGCTTCACGGGCGCCGTGTCGCAGGTGCGAGGGCGGAGCGGCGGGCCCTTCCTTCGCTCAGCCGCGTGCCCGGCCATTTCTTTGCCCATGCGCGCGGAAGCAAGGCTCTCAAGCGCCATGATGTTTCGGCGGCATCGATGCGGCAGTTCGCAGGCCTGCCGATGTGTGTCCATCCAAAGCAGGGCAAGGCACTGTACCGCGTCCAACCACCGATCTGATCTGAACAGGTGTGCTGTAATGCATTTCCCAAGACCTCTCTCTCTCTCGCCATCTGTTTTGCCCCTGGCCCTGCATTCCATCCCCTGTGTAACAGGACTCCATGGAGGATGGCGTGCTGCGCGCCAAGAACGCGGCCGCCCTGGGCAGCAGCCTGCTGGCCTGCATGGCGCTGCCCTGGACTGCCTGCCTCTTCTTCTACACAGTGCTGCACTTCACATACGTGAGCAACATCAAATTACAAAACAGCGGCACGGACTGCTTTGTGGCACTAGCTGGTGTTGACATGTAGTTTTTGGGGCCTGCCTTCACTTGTCGTGGATACATGGCAGCACTGCTCTCCTCATGCCTGACATGCTTGCTCCCCTGCTTGCCGCAACCTGCAGGGGCACGACCGCCGTCGCGCTGCACTGTCCGTGGCTCTGCATTAGTCACACGCTGGCCGGCGGGGCGCAGGCAGCTGCGCAGCGGTCGGAGCCGGCTCTTCCGCCGGGCACCGGGATCGCCGTGAAGTTGGCCGGTACGCATATGGGCGCCGGCGCTGGGCCATGACAGAGTTGAGGGCTGCCTGGTCACCGGCGATTCAGCTGCCTCCCTTGTTGGGGCTCCTGGCCGCGTAGGCACGGGTGCCTCATGCCCGTTTCTCTCTTCCCCATTCTGGGGCTGTGTGCCGCCAGTTGGACCATCACACCTGCATGCTTGGAGCAATAACGGATGTTACACTCTAAGGCTCACCCATAACATTGGAGTGCGGAGCAAGAGGGGGGGGGGTGGTAGGGCAGGGGGTGTGAGAGGGTCCGGGCTCCAAGCGCTGGCTGCATTGCGCGGCCGCCATCATTGCGGTTTGCTTGTGAGAACGCATGGCTTTGTACCTTAGGCCTCTTAATTGTTTTCAACCCTTTTACCTTAGGCCTGCAAAACAGCACAGCGTCAGGGCTGTTCTTGACCCCTTGTATCTTTGTTACAAAGCTTCCTCCCAGCAGCACTCCAGGAGCGTTGGCGGCGGTGGGCTCAGCGCCTTTGCTGGCCTCCCCCGCGCCCGTGTTTCATACTGCAGATGGGCTCCCAGCTTATGGCACGGGACTTTGGACCCACTATCTACCTTCCTGTAATCATTTACGCCACGGTTCATGATTTCTCTCAAAGAAGTGACTTTCAAGGTGGCCCTTGGTTCTGATCGATGCCCATGGGCCTCGCAGTTGGCAGGTGCGGCTGAGCTCGGCATGGGTCATGGCATACATCGAAGAGATGACAATTTCACACTGAGACTTGCGGCAAGCACAACAGCTGATGTCCACCAGCAAGGCGACCCTGCTTTTGCTGCTTGTGTTGGCTCAATAGCACCCCAGCGGGCGCAGCACACAGCACAGCATGGCTGGTTGCGAGCACATGGATGCAACACGAGTTTCGAAGCACCTATGAACCCGAGATTATTCTCTCGTCTGTCTCGTTTTTGGGTCAGTTCAATGTCTTCGACGAGGCGGTTTGCATTGCTTGGAGATCGCGAGATCGCGCCACTCTTGAGCTCGCGGCTTTCAGGCATTTGACGAATTCGTGCAGCATACATACGGTAATCTGAAGGTCATTCGCGTAATATCCAGGCAGCGAAGATCGTACATCAGCAAGGCGTGCGCGCCTCCGGTGACAACGCACACCCCAGCTTGGCGCATGCAGGAGCCTCCGCAGACAGCGGCCATGCCGGCACCGTTGCCTGTGACAGGCAAAAAGCGGCCCTCTCGAGAGGCAGCAGACGAGGACGGCATCGTCGCTGCCCCTGGCGTCTCGGCTGCCGGCGGGACGGAATCGCCGTCACCCAGCGGCGAAATCGGGAGGCTGGAGCACATTGTGCTGTCAAGGTGCGCAACGGCTCGCTTCGCCCGCACATGCCGCCCTCTCTCCCTCGCGACCGCCGCACGTCCGCCTGCACTAGCGCTCCGCAGCTCCACGCGCTCAACCAAGGTCGCCACAGGCCGCCATGAGCCTCCCAGCGCTCGTACACCGCATCGGCCCCTCTCCTGGCCCCTGCTCATTCTCCGCAGCACCTCCTGGATCCATCGCTTCATGCTGCCGCGCCAAATCATGTCCCGCCTTGATTTTGGGGAGCTCTGGCGGCTGCGCCCGAAAGAGCTGGGAACAGTGCAGGTGAGGGCGACGCGGCGGGGCGCCGAATGCGCGGGCGTGTTTTAGGCGGGGTGTGGCGCACCGATTCGAGCCCGCGCCGACATACCACATGCGCAAAACTTGTGTGCACGCCAGCGCAGCTGAGGATTCCACAACAGCGTCGACGTGTGCGCGTCCGGCTGTTTTGCAGCGCCTTTCAAATCATATTGTGTAAATACACTCAAATCATGTTGCGTGTGAGTGGCTCTCAGCTGGACACGGTTGCCCTGCAACCATCAGCTCCCCAAAGCCACCCCAGCACGACCCATCCCTACAAACCCTACACCCCTCTCTGCGGCAGATCTACGGGCGCCACGTCAGCACCCCGCGCTACCACCGCAGCTACGGCCATGACTACGCGTTCAGCGGCGTTGTGCTGGCGGCCCTGCCGCTGCCGGCCGCCCTGCGGCCGCTGGTGGAGTGGGCCAACTCGCTTGTACAGGTGGAGGGGCCCCTTCCGCATGACAGGGGGGGAGGGTCATGGCGAGGCAGCGGACGGGGTGCGGATAAAGATCAGGCTTGGGGCGTTGTGGGGAGGCAGCGGCTGGTCGGCTGGGCCAGCTTTACGGCGCAGGGTTGGAGGACAGGGTTGTTGTGAGGCAGCGGCATGGTGAGGAAGGGTGTGGGCTTGCGTGCGTGCACGGCTGCCTTGCTTGCAGCTGTGGCACGGCGCGTGAAATTCACAGTTTCATTGGTTCCCGTCTTTTTAAGTTATGGGGTTCCTGCAGACTTGGGGCTTGATTTCCTACCAGTCCGCATGCACCCCTAGCCCCAACAGTCAAATCGCGCCCTGCTGGTGCCACTCATGCAAACCCTACACAACGCGCATATCGTACCAATGCAGTACGGTGGGGCCTTGAACGGTGTGCTGGTCAACTGGTATGAGTCGGGGGAGCACTACATTGGTGAGAGCGGCGGCCCTTGCTCGCCAAATGAGGTCTGGGCAGCAAAGCGTGCAGTGCATAGTTCCCAGGATTCAGGCGACTATCAGCAGTGGCACACTCCTCTGACACCGTCCCCCCGGCAGCATCCTATTCTTGCAACTTGCACAACTCGCGCGCCCTCGCGCACCCTCAGCACGATTGATCGCGCCCATGATGATGCATGGAAGCTGACAGCTGCACCGCCACAGCTGACGTCCGTCATGCATGGCGCATCCGCCTCGCATCAGGTGCCCACTCTGATGACGAGAAGCAGCTGGTGGTGGGCTCCCCCATCTTGTCTGTCAGCCTCGGGGCTACGAGGAAGTTTAGGGTGCGGGACAGGGGGCCCGGCAAGGCGGTACGGCACAACATCGACCTGAAGCATGGTGAGGGGGGCGGGGTTCTTAGGGTGGGGAATACAGGGGGTGGAGTGGTGGGGTTTGGGGCTGACAATGCTGCTGGGTATGGCATTTTCAAAGGCAGGGTGAGGTCGATGGGAGCGGGGGAGAAGAGCCGCCGGTGTGCCCGCAGCATCGCCCCAACAGCGGCCTCTAAAGCCTGCCCTGCACACGCACTCGCGCGCACCAACAGTATACGCCCGCAACCACTCAGTTGTGTGCCTCCTGCACGTGTGCCGGCCGCAGGCACGTGCCTTGTGATGGGCGGCGACATGCAGAAGCAGTTCACGCACGAGGTGGGTCGCCAGGCACAATGCACCGTGCGCTACGTGGATGGGCGCATATTCAGCCGAGTCAAGCTGCCCGTACCCAGGTTTATCGCTTCCGCTTGGCACTGGCCGTCTGTCTGGTCCTGAAAACCCACCAATGTGCTCGCTTCTGACTTAGCTCCGCCGCGACCCATGCCTTCCATCCCCCCTTCCCCCTGCGGGGCACTTTTTGCCTGGCCAGTCTGCAACAAGTGTGCATGCAGTGCGTGGGACTCACACTCGCCTCGTTTCCTTGAATTGCCAGCTACTCTCTCTACCACGGCCCCTGCGCAACCTCACGCCTTCAGGCGTCAGCCACTGACGTGTGGCCATTCGATGACGCACGCCTCACCGCCACGGCCCCATGGACAGGTGCCCAAGATCAGCGGGGCCAAGGGCCGGGCAGTCGGACGCCGCATCAACATCACAATGCGCGCCTTTGCCGATAACGCGGCGGTTGGCGGCAGCGCCAAGAAGCGGCGCGCGGCCCCGGCGCCGTGACCCCGCCAGCCGACGCCTGAGGGTTCTTGCGGCTGGCTGACCCCGCGCGGGGGGAGCCCCAGGTTCGCACAAGGCAGCGGCTGAGGGGCAAGCAGCAATGCGACTCCTGATTGGCCCGACTGCTCTGTGACGTGAGCAATGCGGGACACCGTCGCTCATGCAGGTGTCAAGTTTCAATGCAACTGATTTCGTCCCTTTTGTTGAGTTTGCAGGATGGGACCTGAGGGTGGGACGCGAGTATAGCACGCGCCTGGGTTGCAATTGTGGTCATTCCTTTTGTTGCAGCCAGCCCAAGCACCTGCGTGTCAATCCACGGCATGTTGCTGGTCACACAATTGTGACAGCACACCGACTTTGTGGTTTGCCTGGTGTCTTATCGTTTGTGCATGCCACCAGCAGTGAGAAGGTCTTGAGCCACACAAAGGTTGTTGGCTGTGTGCTAGCTGTCAACGACATGTAGTTCAGCACTTTTGGTTTGAAAGCATGTACAGTAACACGTGGTGGGTCGCATGTTTGCAAAATGACTCTTCATGATGGTTTGTCAGCACTTGAAGTTGAGGCGAGTCCACACCATGAAAACACGGGCACGTTGGCGTCAAGCAGAGTGATCATCATATGTTGGCAATGTGGTTCACATCCAAAACCTTCAGTGGAGCAAGGAAGAGCATCTTGCGTGGAACACTCTGGCTCAGCACATGGGTGAGACCATGCGCTCACCATCGCAACCAAAACAGATGTACAAACTTGGAAGAGGCCCCTCGCATCCCCTAACTCAGCCAAGCAGCTCCGCCGTCAGGGCGCGGAGGGCGCCAGGAACCACTCCAGCGCCTGCTGCTGCACTGATGGGTCCACCTCGTGGCCGCCACTGAACTGGACGTATTTCACTGGCCTGCCGGGCAGCAGCTGCCCGAGCTCTGACGCAATGCGCCTGCTGGTCTGGTCTATGGGGAAGAGGGTGTCCCGCGTGCCGTGGGCCAGGAACACGCCCGGGGCGCTCTTGACCTGGCGGGTGTGGGAGGGGTGGCGGAGGGGGGAGCGGGGCGTTAGCCGCGCGCTCATCGGGCGGGGTCCAAGGAGCGAGGGGGCAGCCAAAACGTCAAGGTTGGGCTTGAGGGCAAGCAGACGGAGCCGGGGCGCCCTGCGGCTGCAGCGTACGTCACGGGTTTGCAAGCATTGCAGGCGATACCAGCCCGCCAAGCACCCTGCCCCTGCCTCGTGCGGCAACACCAGCCTGCACACGCGGACCCTTTCGTACCCACCCCCCGCTCACCCGGCCCGCGGGCGGCACAAAGCCGCCGGGCGACAGCACAATGACGTGGCTGAACAGCCCGGGGCCCCCCAGGCCGATCGACAGCGCGTATGTGGCGCCGTCAGAGAAGCCCTCGAGGCCGAGGCGGCGGGTATCTACCGAGTAGCTGCGGAGCACCTGCTGCAGCGCGCTGGCGATGAAGGGCAGGTCCTGTTTGAAGCTTGACCTGCAGAAAGTTCAAGGGTTTTTGGGCGACGGCTTCGCGGGGCTGGACTGGCGGGTGAGGTCGCTGACGGGAGGGTGTCCACTGACGGGCACAAGGCAGTGACATCCGGGGCAGTTGCTGGCAGGTCGATCAAGATAGTGCGAGACCCACAGCCGTTTTGGAGACGCACAAAACTGCCGCCAAGGCGCCGCACAGGCATCAAGCTGTCTTCGCAAGTGAGCCGGGCACGCACGTTGTGATGACGTCCCAGGTCGCGCCCCTGCTCTCAGGCACCAGCAGCAGGCAGGCGCGGCTCTTCAGCAGCTCCAGGCCCTGCGGCCCCAGGGTGGCCAGCGCGTCGGCCGCGCCCTTGCCGGCGCCATGCAGCAAGACCAGCAGGGGGGAGGGCTTGCCGGGGGCGTAGGTGGGGGGGACAAACAGATACGCATCCCTGGGAGGTGGTCCACCGGGAGCGGGCATAGTTGTTCGAATCAAGGGTGTAATCGATGATAGGGGCAGCATTGCACCCATCCAACCATGTGTCTGCCAATGACCACCCACTGACCGGCGGTAGGATTAGTGCCCCTGCACATCACAGGCGGTCGCGTGTGCGCAAGCGCATGCACCAAAGCGCCGTGCACCGCACCTGCTGCTGCCCCGGGCAAGGCCGAGCGGTTTCACTTTCCAGCCCTTTGGAGGCACCACCGCTGCTGCTTCACCGGTTGGGATCGGCCAAAATACCGCCACGAACATCGTAGCAGCGACCCATGCGAGCAACGAGCTCCGTGATCGACACATCGCATCCGTTGCTCACACACTCGCAATAACCATCAGATGACAGCTTTTGTTCGAATCGGCGTTATCCGCCGAAATACAACCTTCGCCACTGGCACGGCGATGCTGACCGCAGCAACCTGCCGGTGACACTGGTGATGCCGCAGTGCCGCCACTGCCGGCGCGGGGTGAGCAGTCGGCCGGCAGGCAGCGGACAGGTGGATGATTTGAAGCAACAGCCTACCACGGCGGCAGCGTCAGCGGGCTGCGAGCCCGCACCAGCCGGGGCCCCGCAACAGCCAGCTGCCAGCCCTGGCAGCGCCATAACCACCAACTGCGCCGCAGCTGATAATTCCCGCCGCAGCGGGGCGCGGTTCGCGGCTACATTGCCGACCGTGGCGCTAGCTACGGGCGGCGGGTGGTGCGGGGCCGCGGCAGGTGCAGAGGGATGCCCCCACCCTCCCTTGCCTCCATGGCGATGGAGGGTAGCAGTGAACAACCGCTTGCTGCTCCACGATGGGCAGCCCGTGGCTCCGAGGAAGGATGCGGCCTCGACAATGACCTGATGCTGTGGTGTGGTGCGGCGTTCAAGTCACATGTCACCCATCTGTCCGAGGTTGACCAGGGGGTCGCAAATGGCTAAAAACATCCTCCATGGCCACGCGCGAGTCGCATGCAAGTGCGGCGTGAGCCTGCACAGTACATCCCTATCAAACCCATCACCTGCTGTTGACTTCGACTGATGACAGGCACCTGACAACAGACCCGTCGCTTTTGCCCTCATTCAGACACTCATTAGGAAGTGTGTGTGGGCGTGTGATGGTCACGTGCAGGCTGGCGGCATGGCACTCGTTGGTGTTGCTGTTGCTGATCAACCTGCTGCCGGCGGACTGGAGCCGCGCAGCCTGCACAAGTGACGGGCACCTTAAAGCGCAGGATCTCCAGGCCTGTCATGTTGGGAGCGGCATTCGCAACTTGCCCTATCAGAAACGCCAATCTGTGCATAACCGCTGCTTGCAATCGATCTGAAACACCTCACAAACCAGTCGCGGCGCGGCGGATGGAGGCGGCTGCCCCTGCACAGGATTGGCAGCAAGCTTCTTGGGCAAAACCCCTTGCGCTTGGCGCAGGGCCGGGTGCTCGCACATGTTACAGCACATGGGGTGTAACAGTCTGCTTCACATGGAGCTTTCAGCAAATGCGGAGAGCAGCATCAGTTTAATAGAACTTCATTCATCTTGCAGGATTGTCATCACACGCAAACGAGGGCCAGATTACGGCGTATTGCGGCCAGGAGAAACCCAGCACAGCAATGCCTTTGGCAGGCAGGCAAGTTCATGCAAGCACTCAAGCATGCCACCAATCAGAGATTGGATTTCAGGCAGAGGTTGAGTTTCAACCAGAGTTTCAACCATACATGGATGCGTATACAATGCGTGCACCACAACACGCTGAATCGATCGGTTGAGACTGTTCCAACACGAGGGGCATTCCAAACAAGGTGGTTGGTGCACCACCCCCCATCTTCCGACTCAATCGTCCCAATCTGCAACTGCCAGCCAGCTAGCCGCCGCCCGCAGGGCGTCCGCGCCGCCCGCGCAGCTCAGCAGGCGGCCTGCGACCTCACCCGACACATATCCCGCCCACGCGCGCGGGTGGCCCTCGGCCTCTAGCCAGGCCATGAGCGCCCCGTCCTCCAGCCGTTGAGAGAAGGACGCCTCGTCCCCACATGTGCTGAGCATGACGTCGAGCGCCCAGCCGTTGTCAGGCCACAAAGAGAGGAACCGGCGCAGCGCCGCAAAGGCGTCCCCACCCTCGGCCGGCGGCCGCACGCGGGCGCCGCCGCACACACGGCCACCGAGCAGTGCGTGCAGACTGTCGGTCCACGCCATGCCCCCGCGTTGCCGGACCAGCATTACCCAGGTGGAGAGGTCATGGGCCGTCACCCCCAGGCTCCGCCATGACACGCCCTCCAGGGTGCCGCTGTGGATGGCGCCGAGCATGCCACTCAGGGCGGGGCTCGCCCGCCCCTCGATCCAGCCCCGCGCGTCCAGGGGCGCGAAATCGTTGCAATTCGCAAGGTGCCGCGCCTGCGGGCCGTCGAGCACTGCCAGCATGTGCTGGAAGTGCCCTGCCTCGGCTGCGCTTGCCGCCGCATAGTTAATATAATCCTTCACCAGCGTCAGCCCGTCCGCCCAGGCCTTGAATGGGGGGCTGGTGATCACGGCCGCCGCGTCGCCAAGCGCCGCCAGCGCCGTCGCCTGCAGTTTGGCCAGGGCCTGCGGGCAGCAGGACGCGAGTTGCGGGGGTGCAGGTGCGCGTGAGTGCATGGGCAGGAGGCCACTTGACGCTCTCATGCGCGTTGTGCAGGCTCAGACGATCTTTCATCGATACACAAGCAGCAGGCATTCCCATTCCCGCACTCTGTGCATGCTGCCCGCGTCCCCCTGCCACACAGGGGCTCGAGGGATCCACCTGCCCACCTGGCTCTGCACAGCCCATTGCTCGCTGAGCGTGCGCTCCACGTCCAGCGCGGTGCCTCGCCGCACCGCGCGCATCACAGCCAGCTGCAGCCGCTGAGCCTGCACGTCCTGCGTGCCCCAGCCAAACTGCTCGTGCTCGGCGGCAAAGTAAGCATGCGCCACGTCCTCCACCTCTTCCTCGCCCCCCGCTGCACCCAGGCCGAACCAGCATCCCGCCAGCTGCCTGTGCAGCGCGCCCGGCGCGGGGCGGGCGCAGTGCGCCCCCAGCCGCAGGCCGGCGCGAGTCAGGCGGGGCACCAGCCAGGCGCGGCCGGCCGTCGACAACGCCATGTGCTGCGAGGCGGCCTTGAGCGGCGGGTCCAGGGTCGCGGCCACTGCCTGCAGGACTTCCTCCCCCATGCCCCGCCCGTGCGCCTCCGCCAAGATCTCGTCAAGAGCAGCAAACAGCGCTGCGGGCGCCAGCGGCGGGAGGATGTATTCCCAAGAGAGAGGGTTGCCCCAGCCGTCGCGCCCGGCGTCGTCATCACCCGCGAGGAGGCAGACGGCGTCCGCCAGCGCCTGGGGGAGGTTGCAGCACTCGCCAGCCATGGTCAGCGCGAAGCACGCCCCGCGCAGCACCTGGCACTGCAGCTGCACGTCAGACAGCGTTGCTGCCAGTGTCGCTGCGGAGGCAATGAGCTCCGCCACCCGCGATACGCGGTAGTCGGCATGCTGTGTGGCACTCAGCAGCAGCTGCTCCTGCACCCCCGGCTCGCAGAGCGCCGGCCGCGGGCCCAACATCGCGCCCGACAGGCACAGATGCGCGGCGGCTTCCCAGCCCGCCGCGACCGTTGCCTCGTGGCGGGCGTTCGGCTCGCTCATGCCGCCCCGCACGAGGTCCTTGGTGCGCTGCTCCACGATTGCGCTGCTTGAGCTGTTCGTGGCACAGGAGAAAGACCTCCGCCGCGTCGCCGCCGGCCGCACGCGCGCGGAACGCGCGGCAAAGGGCCGCAGACTTGCAGAGCAGCCCGAAGGCCAGCATGCTGCGCACGACGCTGGCCCGGTAGCGGCGGACGGCAAACGGCTGCAGGTCTGCCATTACGGGCGCCACCGCGTCCCATGAGCTGCCATGCAAAACGCGGCAGATGTCCACGGCGTCCGCCCACCGGCCGGCCAGCAGGGCCGACTTGGCTGTCGCCACGACCTGGGCCCGCTGAGGCACGGGCCGTGCGCCGCCGCCCAGATCAAAGCCGGCGGCTCGGCACAGCAGGCGGCGCAGGGCCAGCGGCTGCAGCAGCGCCGCGACGCCTGCCTGAGCTGCATAGGGCAGGAGCAGCAGGGGGGCCTTGGGCCCGCACAGCGCCAGCAACGCGCCCACTGTGTCGCCGTCCACCAGCAGGCGCTCTGCAATCGCAAGATCTGCTGCTGCACCACGCTGCTCCTGCTCCTGCTCCTGCAGATACTGCTGCTCCTGCTCCTGCTCCTGCTCCTGCATCTGCTGCTGTTGCTGCTGCCAACATCGGGCATAGCGCAGCATCCACATCGCCATGCCCTCCGCTGTCTGCTGCTTCAGTCTTTGCCACGTCACCGCTGCATACTGCCACGGCCGCCCGGGCGCCTGAGCCGAGTGCTGAGCCCGGAACCAAGCGACATCAAACCTGCGGCACAGCTGCAGGCTGTCGCTGCTGGCGCTGGCAAAGCTGGCGGGGTCCGGGAGGCGGGCGATGACGCTCTGCAGGACCTCGCACGGCAGAGCTGTGAGGAGCGTGGGTCGAGGTGCTGCTGCCATGTAGACAATGCAGCTCGAGTTGCGCGGGTGCGTCGGACAAGCGCGTTGTGCAACGCCGCAGCGTCACTGGTGATCCTGCATTTTGCCACAAGGCAGGGGAACAGGCGATAGAGTTGGGGTCAATGCAAGCGGCGCAGTATCAAGGCAAAAGCAACCATCATCATCATCCGTGACAGCAGGTGCCGCTGCAGCAGCAGCGACGAATGGAGCAATGCGCCAGCAGCGGTGCTGCAACCAGGCCCAGGAGCCCGCTGGCTGACGTTCAGACCCGACAGTAGATCCCTGAAGAATTGCCTCTCGCACGTCTTGCTCGCTTGGGTAAGTAATTCACCCGCGATGATCTCACAACATTTCAAACCTGGACGTTGAAAGCAACCCGAATCCAGGAGACTTCTCTCACGAAGTTACATACCGGCACAAAACATGTGATGAATTGATGCTAGGCCGCGCATTCTCTGGAAGCAATGACATACCGTACTGCCACGGTAGAGGCCGACGCTGGCACAGGGCCTGAAATCATGAACAAGAGCGCCGCCAACCTTCGAAGTGGCTGCTTGTTGGCTGCTATACACCTCACAGTACACACAGTACGCATGATTGGCCCATTCGCATGATTGTGCACAAGGAGCAAACTGATTCAGAATTCGCAGGTGGTCTATCATGTTGAGCACGGCGCAACGACATCATCAGGCCATGTGCACGCCTCCCGCCGCCGCCACTTGGTGTCAGATCTATCGGCCAGATCAGCATGCGTCCATCCCACCTGCTTCGCCCCCGCCCCGCCGCCAGCCCGTCTCACCTGCCCTGAAGTTACCGCAAAACCTCCTGCCCCCAAGGCGCTCGCCTCACGCACACGATCCAGGCCACCTGAGCCCTCTCGGACCCTGCCCGACGCATTTGAATGCCCTATGCAACCTTCTCGCACCCCCAGCCGGCCCCCACACGCCCCGGCGCTGGCGCTGATTCTCGCCCCGCGCTCCCCTTGAAAGGCTTGTAGATTGACAATATTACAGGCGCTGATTTGGGCACACCGCTGCAGGCGCCGCTCACCGGGGGACCCTCCTCTCCTGTTGACTGCACCTTTCCCTGGCCGACCCCCGCCCGCAAATCCCACATGCACGCGTCTCAGAGATTAACTACGACAATTATCACACAATTAGCTGAAGCGCGCAACAGTGTGGTTACATTGTGTAGAGATGCAGCCGGCCGGTGGCGGCAACCGTGCAGTATGGCCAGCAGGGCGTCGTGGTGAGCGCAGCATGTGTGTTGGGCCTCAGAGGGGCGTGGCGTGTTGTACAGTAGTGGTTGATACAAGGGGCAAAGAAGTGTTTTTGCAGCCCTCGGGCATTTGTTGGGCTTGTGCTGGGCCCTGGGAGTGTGGCACTAGGGGTGGTACAGGTGCACGCTTTCACAGCCGCTGCGTAAGGTGTGTGTCATCTCATCAATGTGGTGGGTACAGGTCGACGTTTGAGGAACCCGGCAGTTTTCAAGCCATCGGCACACCACTTGCACTCGTCGAATGGCACGTTGCGTGGTAAGACATGGGCATGGATTGTTGAAAGGTGCGTAACCGCTGCCCCCCTGCTTGCGCTGCACCGAGGACCAAGGTGTGTGGTGTCCCCTGGCCCTGCACATCACATGCAACTGTCGTGCGGCCAGTTGTGATGTGTCGCCAGTCAAGCTTGTGGTACATGTCAGCTTGTGATGCAAACCCGTGATGCGTGCGGATGCAACCGGCCCACTCCAATCGGCCGCAGGGTTAATGGCCCCATGTAACGAGCGGTGCAGAGGCATCAAGTCAACGGATCAAACGCGCCTGGTGCACAGGGCGCCTGCATGCGAGGGCGCTGGCCGCGTCTGCTTCGCGGCCGTGTTCCCAGCGCGCTCCCCCCCAATCACTACAAACCGCCGACATCTCAGTGTGCCGAGGGGGCGCTGCGCCTCTGAGAGCAGCACTTGAGCGTGCGCTCGTATGCCTCGACCGCCTCCGCCAGCCGCCGCACGTTGTTTGTCCCAAACCCGCCGCACCCCGCCGCCTGCTCCAGCACCGTCCCGTCGGGCAGCACCCCCACCACCTCCGCGCCGCGCGCCGCGCGCCCGGCGCGCCCCCCGCGCGCGCCGCAGGTGCTGCCCCAGCGGGCTGGGCGGCGACGCAGCCGCGGCGCTCTATGATTTCAAGCTTTGCGGTGGGGCGGTCGCCCAGGGGCTTGGTGAACACCTGCAGCAGGGCGCCGCGGTCGTCCCTGTCTAGCAGGACCCCCAGCTGCCTTATGGCGGCAAACTCCTCAGCGCTGATGACGTCACACTGGCCGGGCAGGCGGCGCAGGGTTGAGGGGAGGGTTGAAGGTGGCGTCTGTGGGCGTCGGCGTGCGGTTTGGGGGGCAAAGGGTGCGTCCCGGCAGGGCATGGGCCTGCAGTCGGCGCAGCGCTTCAGGATAAGGTGATTGCAAGTGTGGACGCGGGCGGGCAGATGCCTCAGGTTTCCAGCACCTGCACGTGCATCGAGGGCAGCGGCGCGGGGCAGTGGTGCGCGCTGCCCACCATTTTTGGCCAGACCGCGTCGTAGTAAGAGGGCGGTGGCGGGGGCAGCAGCTCAAAGCCGCCGGTCGCGCCCGCGGCGGCCATCTGGCGCAGGGTTGAGATGATATCATTCGTTTTGATGGCGATGTGGTGCACGCCCAGCCCCTCACAGTGGTCCAGGACAGTCTGGGTGGGTGGTGCATATTTGGGGTTTGCAGCCGTTTGCAGTGGAAGGGGTTGCTGCATCAAGCATGAACGAAATTCAATGAAGTTTTTTGGCCAAGCACCAACCCCGATTTCAATGAACGCAGCTGGATCGCCAGTCCGCCGAAGGCCGCTGGCGGGTGTGCGCCAGGGGCGCCGCAAACCGCGCCCGATCCGCGCGCGCAACCGACCGCGCGCCCGCCCGCCCATGTGCCGGCCAGCCTGACAATCAGAGCGCATGCGCTCACCTGAACCTGGCTGCGCAGCGCTGTGCCTGTGGTGGGCTCGCTGACAAGCAGCAGCACGCTCTCGCTGTCATTGGCCAGGGCGGTGGCATTGAACCCGCTGGCGGCGGTGCTGACATCATCCGCGAGAAGCTCAACAAATTCGTGGAAGCCTGGGGGGGGCAGGAAAGGGCGGACGCGCGCCCTTGCTTCAGTGTCGCGCTCGGCTCTGGGTCATGGAGGGAAAGACCGGGAGAGGCGGACAGGACAAGAGGAGTGCCGCACAGTCACAGGCAGGGGCGGGGGATGCTGATAGCGCTGCACGCCGCACGCCGCACGCCGCGGCGTCCAGGACAGCGGCCGCGTCAAAGGGCGGGGCGCGCCCGCACCGGTGAAGCCCTTGATGCGCGCCGCGTGCTCCACCAGGCTGGGGGTGGCGCCCACGACGTGGTCAATGCGCGACAACCCAAAGGTGGGGCCGGGTGGGCCCGGCTCTGCGGCGTAGCCGGGTAGGAAGGGGCCCTGGGGTGGCGATACAAGCGAGCTGTGTGTTTGTGTGTGTGCGTGCGTGCGTGTGTGTGTGTGTGTGGGTGTGTGTGTGTGTGTGCGCGCGCGCGTGCGCGCGCGCGTGCATGTGTGGGTGTGTGTATTGCCTGGTGGCCCCGCCAACCAACAGCGCAACTGTCGTGCGCAAATACTGCAGTCCAGGTAGGCTCAGGGTTGCCGCGTGAGGCTGGCAGCTCTGCTGCTCGGGTGCCGCGCGGCAACCGCGCGCTCTCAGGACGTCACCGGACCCGCAGCCTGGTGCGTGATTTGCGCGCGTCTGGGATGGAGTTGCTTGCGCTTGGCAGGCCGAGCCCTGGCTGACCCACCTGCCAGTCGCCGCTGACATAGCGCAGCACAGTGTCCCCGTAAAGCTCAACCTCAGCCACCACCGCCGCCCCGCCGCCGCCTGGGCCGCCGCCGCCCTCCTTGAGGAGCGTCGGCGCCAGCACGCCGCGCGCGCCGTGCGCCACTGACGCGCGGTAGGCTTAAGCCGCGTCTGCCACCAGCAGGCCTGCGCGCAGCGGCGCGATGGGGCGCGTGCGCGCGTGTTTGCATGTGTGTGCGAGGGGGCCAGATGCGCGGGGCCGGGCGGCCGAGAGCAGCGGGCCGCGCGGCGCTGTGGTGGCTGCACGGGCAGGTTGCGCGGCGGGCCGGCGCGCCACAGGGCTCATGCGCAGGCTGCCAAAAGCAAACAGTCAGCATGCGAGGGGGACACCACCCACCGACCGCCCTGACTGTCATGCCGTGCCTCATGACAAAGTCGTACGCCGCGCGCAGGTCATACCCAGGCAGCGCCCCGCCGCCCGCCGCGCCGCCCGAAGCGCGGGCGGCCGCGTGGCATGCAATGGAGTAGGGGGCGGTGAAGACAAAGAGGACGTCCCCGCTGCGCAGAGCATAGCTGGCGCATTGGCTGTTTCCGGTGCTGTAGTCGGATTTGGCAGCCAGGCTCATGCCGAGCCCGTGCTGGAAGCTGCGGGGGCATGAGGGGCGCACGGGCGAGTGCGCGGGGCGGCGCGCACGTGACACCCGCATGAACAACGCGACCTCTTGCAGCAATCCTACTGGCAGGGTGCCAACGGGCAATACTGTAAATGGCGTACCCTCCTGAGCACTAGCTGAGCTGGCTGGCAGCGTGCGCAATTGCAGGCGGGCCACCCCACCGCTTGCTGGTGTTGGTGGCGTCGGCGGTCCAAAACTCCAGATGGTGGAAGCCGTGCACACAGAACCTGTCGCTGCGTGGGTTGCAGCGCTGCAGGTGGCAGGTCGCATCCATCCTGGCAGCTGAGCTCCCCACATGTGTTGGGACCGCCACCCAAGGGAGCTACCCGGGCAGCACAAACACACACGAAATGAGCGCACTAAATACCAGCGATATGCTGCGCTTATTCTAATGGGAGCGTGATCACGCGCAAAACGCTTGGCGGACAAGGTTGTCGAGTCGATACTGGGGCCGGCCGCTGCCAGTGGTCACATAGGTTTAGGCGCATGTTTTCATGGAGGCCAATGTCTTCAGGTGCAGAGGGCACCTTGATGAGTTTCCCCGTCTGTCGGATGGGATCGGGCACTGCACTTGAAATTTTGGGGGCACTGCCCCATCCAGCACTTCGGGCAACAAGCAGCACCCCGCACGGTTGCAATGCACGGGCTTTCTGTGTCAGACATTGTTGACGAAAGGCTGCCGTAGACAGTTCCAGGTCATGCTGCGCCTGGGTATCAAAAGCACTGGCGGTCCTAGGCCTGGGGTTGTCACGGGACAGTACTAGTCAGACTGAGGGGTTAGTCTCCCAGGCTGCTAGGACTGGGCCTTATCTGTCGACACCTAGCTGGGAGTCACTGCCAGTAGAGCAGCTGCCCAGTAGGCGCCCCTGGGTGACTGGGCCTGTGAAGGGGTCAGGGGCTTCAAGTCGTCAAAGGGTCCCAGTCGGTATTCTTGGACCGACAGCCTGTTACAGGGGTGCTGGCAACCAAGCCTTGGAGCCCCACCTCCAACCACACTGATGATGAACATCACCAGCACACTGATTCCAGGTAGTGCAGGTTGACATGCTATGGTGGCGACCGAACACAGGTGCGGGCTAGCCATCAGTACCGTGGCGACCGAACACAGGTGCGGGCTAGCCATCAGTACCGTGACAGGGGGGACCAAATGTTGAGATTCGGCAAGCGGCCAAGAGGAAAGGCAGGGCAGCACAAGGCGCAACTTGATGAGAGCAAAACAAGCGCCTCTGCAGAGTGCAATGCGCCAAGTTGAAGCGGATCGGGAGCCAGCCATGCATCACATGATAAAAAGGGCAACGCGTCTTGAAACTGCCAACAGCGAATGCTGAGGGTTATACAAGGTGCAAGCGCACGCGTGCTCTCTCCAGAAACAGACAGCAGCTAGACAGGGAATGGGCCGCTGCAAGCCAAGGAGCAGGCAGCTGTTCAGCAAAACAGAACGCTGAAGACGCAAAGGCGCGCACGTTCATATCGCAGCAGTTGCAGCTGTGGCAGCTGCCAACAGCACAATGCGCATCAAGGCCCTCTTCACCCTCTCGACTGTAGAGGCTCTGTGCAGAAGTTGGTCGGGCACCCTCGCCGCTGCTCCATGCTGCAATGCGCCGCGTGGCTGTCACAGATTGCGCAGAACAACACACTGCATTAGGCGAAAATGGCATGAGTGCAGGGCGAGTTGTGGTGCCTAGACATAAAACCCCGGCTAATTGAGCCAACACGTCTGTTCCAGAATCGTCTTGGGGTAGGGCAGCAAAGGCTGGTGACAAAGTGCTTGAAATGGAGGCCATGTTGCTGCCGTTGGCAAATTGGCTCGGATGATCCATTCACGTATCACCTAGAGGTGTGAGAGGTGGGCAGGCATTCTGAGGACTCCACAATGCGACCAAAACTTTGGGCGAGGTGATACCTGACAATTGCTTGCATTCGAGCTCAGTAGCAAAAACACAGCGCAGCAAACACGCACGCAGCGTGGAAGCAGAAGCAGTGGGGGGGGGGGTCTCGCAGGACCCAAGGAAGGTCGAGGTTGGTGCGTGATAACTTCTCAGCCGGCCACAGCTCCCTCGCAACATTGACATGCGAACTGGAGTGTCTCTGAGCGCAAGTAATTCCAACGCAGGACGACTCACCAAGTGGCGACGAACACCAGCCAGATGACATTTACCGGCGACCAGCCATCATGGGCACCTTGGGGGCCATGGCGGCGGGCTTGGAGGCCATGGAGGCGTTGCCCATGGCCATGCCAGCCTTGGGGGCAGCCATCTTGGGGGCGGCCATCTTGGGGG